CTGCTAAACTCGGGCACTGGGACCGCTTGTGTTCCCTCTGATTGCACTGAAAGCAAATTAGATCTGATGCTGTCGCGGTGGTGGTAGTGGCTGTGTAATCTCGGCTCACATGACCAGTTCGTCCGCACTTATAGCAGCCCGAACTCCCCGCCTTGCACGTTCCCTCATGCATCCTGCCGCATTTGCCACAACGGTTGTGGCTCTGATGGCTCCGAGATCTGTAATCTGATACCTTGGGCTTCTTGCCGGAACTCCCTGACTGGCCCCCCTCTGGTTTTCTCTTCCTCTCTATCTCTAAATCCAACTCTCTCTCTCTCTCTCTCTCTCTCTCTCTCTCTCTCTCTCTCTCTCTCTCGCCATAACAATCATGTCCTCCAACATCTTGCAGCTGGAGCAGCTCACGAACTGTCTAATATCACTCCTCAGCATTTCGTGATACCGAGACTTCTTCATCTCCTCGTCTGACACATACTGTGGAACAAGAAGGGCTCTCTCCGAACTTGGCGGTGATCTCCGTTACTGTTTCTGTAGTTTGCTGGAGGTCCTGAAACTCTCGTGCTAACTGATGCACCTCAATAACTAGTGCAAACTCGGCCTTGAACCTGGCCGAGAAGTCACCCCATGTCATAGCATCTAAAACTAAATCCTCCCCAATGGATCTCCCAACCTCCTCCCACCAATCACGTGCCCTGTCCTTCAGAAGACAGGACGCAAGTCTAACCTTGTCCCCCTCTGAACATCTGCTGGTGCGGAAAACGTTGGCGACATCAGCCAACCATCTGGTACTCACAATGGGGTCCCGAGACCCATGGTAATCGGGAGCTCCACAAGCCCTAAACTCCCTGAAAGTCAGTGTGCGCGACCCCATCATGGCCACCATCTCTGTACGGAAAGCGCTCAGCTTCTCATCCAGAAGCTCTAAAATACCCTCCTTGACCGATCCAAAGATCACAGGAGTCTGATCTAGAATGATGTATGTGATCTCAGACGAAATAAACTCCCTCGTCTGCTCATCCATCTGCCCGGCTCTAGAGCCCGAGCCCGATCCCTCACCAGTGCCTGAAGTGCCAACTAGCCTAGTGCGTAGCGTCACCATACTGAAAATACACCATAACAACATTAGTATACTCATCATATCTCGAGGGATCTAACATACTAAAAGTTTCTTGGATTCATCTCAGCCTCCCTAGATTCGAGTACGAATCCTCTGCTTTCAATAGTACAGGCCCATACTACCTTCCACATCTATCCGTACTTTCCTCAAGAATTGCCTCAACTCCACCAAGTCCCTTCTACTACTACTACTACTGATCTCATGCTAAACTCATCCTAGGCTTGCCCTAGGGTAATCACCCACCCACTTTCCGCTATCAGCTGCATAAGAAGTCCCTGCTATCTCTCCTAACTAGCTCGTGAATACTATTACATATCACTAGGACTGGATAATTCTTCGAATGAGAGATCCTACCCTACAACGGTTGGACTCAAACAAGAGTTGCGCAACAAAGCTAGACCTAACCTTCTGAAATTATTTAATCCTCACAATATGTAACTTAACATATTCATTTACTAGTTAGTAAGAGATAACTTGAACTCCTAAAAGCACAAAGCAAGAAGCATTCGAGCATCGAGTATACATAATCAAGCATATCACATTCAGGACATCATTGACTAATCTGTACTGGCATACGGTTCATAAAGCCGAGATACACATAACAGGCACATAAGGCATCCTTCCTAGCTCCTTAGTCCTAAACTAGCATGCAATTCTCATAACATATCATAACATAAACTTGTATGGGTAATTTGGGAATACTTACTTGGGCTCGGCTGATTGCATGCACCACACCCTTTTCTTTTTTCAAAATTCTTTTCTCTTTTCGAAATTCTTTTTTCTTTTCAAAGTTCTTTTATAAAAGTAATTTTCTTTAGAAAATTTTCATACCATTTCATTAGTTTGAGTTCAAACACACCCGAGAGTGTGCCCGAATCCCTCAAACCAAGGCTCTGATATCAAATTGAAACATCCCAAAAATACGGTCCAAAAATTTCTTTTTAAATTCATTAATAAAACCATAATTCAACCATCATCATATAGAAAAACCATAAATCATGAATCTCAAAAACACCGTAACGAATACTATATCAAATCATATAAAAATATCAGATTCAATCTCCCAGGATAGAAAACTGTGGTGTGTGCCATGTGATCATCTCGAGCCCTTCCCTTTGCTAGCTGAAGTACCTGAAACCAAACTGAAAATTGTAAGCACGAAGCTTAGTGAGTCTCCCCAAACTACCACATACCATACACATAACATATAACATGTAACATAAACTTTGGGACACCGCCCAACTGCATTGGGACGAACCCGACATCGGACTCCTGCCCGACATCGGGCTCACCTCGGTATCAGACCACGTCTGGCATCGGGCTTACCCCGATATATACAGAGCATAACATGTATCATAAACATATAACATAAGCATATAACATACATCGGGCTTACCCCGGCATTGGACCGAAGCCCTGAACACATAACACATAACACATAACCAGAAAAGGGGTTAGGGTTCACGACCCGACTCGCCGAGTCCAAGAACAACTCGTCGAGTCCTCCACATGACCAATCCATTCAGTCGATTCTAATCCATTCCAATGCTTCCAACTTGTAGATCTGGACTCCTTAGACTAGCATTACACGTAAAGTTGCTAACTTTACATGCATGCATGGTGTTATGAAGCTAAAACACCCAATACAAGCCAAAATGAAGGTCTAAGTCATAGAATAGGGCCATGGCTGAATAAAGGTGGCAACTTTGAGCTTCTAAAGCTCAAGAGTGCCCATATCTGAAGTCCTTTCATCCCCAAGAGTTCAAATCTCGGAATGACCTTGGAAATGGCCCAAAATGACAACATACAAGCTAAGAAGGAGATCTAAGTGAATAGCAGCCAATGTATAAGCTTTATACCTCTATGAAGACATAAATGAGTCCTTAGCTCTGGATCTTCGACCTTCCTTCTACAACTCCAAGCCTTTGCTTCCTTCTTCTAGCTTTAAATCACAAAATGGCAAGAAATAGCTTAAGATCACTCAAGGTTGATTAGGGTTTCGAGATTAGGGTTTGGATGTGATGGAGGCTGGGATGGAGGCAAAATATGATGCTTAAATAATGTGCAAGCCCTAAAGATTAGGGTTTCATCTAGTCTGTCCTACTCGTCGAGTCAGGACTTCGACTCGCCGAGTAGCTCACTTAAAACCCGCGCATATTCTGCCTTCTACTCGACGAGTTAGGGCCACTAACTCGTCGAGTAGCCCTTCCAAAATGAATAAAATAATAAAGTTAAATGCATACCAGGAACCAGGCGTTACATGAGGGTTATTTCCCACCCATGCATGAATTGGTGGTCATTTTGTGAAGTTATGGACCTAGGGTCTGATTTTGGGCTCCATTAGGCCATGCAAAAGCTTAAAGTTGTTGACTTTATCAGTTAAGACCTTCCCAAGATTAGGATCTGTGATTTGGACGTCTAGAATTTAGGTATTAAGTGCTTAAAATATGTTTTGGACAACAGAGGGTTACGCACGACGTAACATCTGGGTACGCATGGCGTAACGGGTTTAGCCTCGTATCCCTTTCTATGAATACCTAGTACATTGGGCGTAAGTATGGAGTACACATGGCGTACTCCCGGAGGTGCATTTTGGGCCTTGGGCCATGTTTAGTTGGGTCTAGTAGGGGAAGGGTAAAATGATCTTTTACCCTTAGTAAGAGAGAATTTGAATTGGACCTTTGATAATGGGTTATTACCTTAATTATTAATTAGGGTCGGTTTTGAATATGTTCAGTGTGAGGAGCCTTTGTAGTAGCAACTCGAGTGCGTGATTTTTCATCATCAGATTGAGGTGAGTATTCTCACCATACTATGTAGGATGCTACTTTTCTGTGTGAGTATTCTCACCCGATGTATGGTATGTGGTACTTTGGGGAACTTACTCAACTTTGTGCTTATGATTTATGTTTAAAATGTTTTCATGTACTTCTGGTTTCAAAAAAGAAGCATCCGACTTGAATGCACTGCATCCCCTGGAGATTTATTATGCATTGATTGTTTATGATTTTACTCTGATGTTTTGAGAATACTTTTATTATAATCGTCTTTTGGGATAATGAATGAATGGTTTTGATTTATTTAAAATGAAATTTTTACTCGGTAATTTTGGGATGTTACATATGTGGTTTCCCTTAGAAGGTATATGATATTAGAGTATGAGATGTGGCCATTGGGTCTAGATGAGAATAAAAATGCTGAGACATTTGAGTTAAAAACAGAGCAAAGAAAATATCGAACACAAAAGAGATAGAGTAAAGAAAAGATAGAGCAGAAAAGAGACATGGTAGAGAAGAGACGGAGTAGATAAGAGACAAAGTATAGAGAAGAATAGAGAAAGATTAGAAGAGATAGAGTATGCGAAAGAAAGAAAAGAGAAGATAAGAGTATGAGAAAACGATAAGAAAAGAGTATGAGAAAAATAGTAAATGACAGAGAAAGAGATAGATGAGTTGAGAAAGAGTAGAAAGTAAAGATTAGAGAATAGTAGAAGAGATGAATGAAAGAAGAAAGAATAGTAATATATGCTATGAAAGAAAGAGTTAGATTGTAGAGTAAGAGAAAGAAGAGATAAGAAAGAAAGAGTAATTGAACATGAAAACAAATAAAAATATAACTGACTAGACTTGGAGGTTCTAGTACAATTATGCTCATTAACTAAGGACTTAATTTGGAATGATTTTTCACTACTCATCCAAGTTGCCCATAGTCTAAAAGGACATGCTGCTTTCCTTCACTATTTTTACAACACCTGACTAGCAACCTGGTTTTATCATTTTTTTTCATACCATAGGTTATAACCATTTGATATTGTATAATTGGATACAAGTTGTTTGATTTCTTAAGGATTACAAAACCTCATACCAAGGATGGGTTGCATTGTATCCTACTTTTGATTTGGTTCATGAAAATGAAAAATCGGGACTTGTTTGTTTCCATTATCTGAATCGTCATCCACATCAACAACATCATCTCTAGGGATAACACTAATATGGCTGAGAAAAGGATCACCAGTGAGAGTCGGTTGTACTACCTCTTCATCGAGTTCAAGATGAACAGATAGAGCATCAGACATGACTGAATCTATATCTTCATCAGAGCTTTCACTATCAATACCTTCTTCTGCTTTCTGTTCGTCAATCCAGTCAAATAGAGGTTCATTGTGGTGATCAACGTATACACTAATCTCCCCCATATTACCATTTGCAGCATTAAGAAACCTAGTGTAATCATCATCATTTGTTAGTGGTCTCAACCCATCTCTCAGTTACTTATGTCCTAGACAGTAGTAAACATCAGTACACCTCCGCTTAGTGACATTTCCAAGAACAGAAATGAACTCATGGAATTCATTTCCACCAAAATCGACATCACGAATTGAAGTTTTTATATGCTAGAAGTATACAAGGGTTTGGGGGGAAATATTCCCTCGTAGTGAACACCTATTGTAAAAGAAGTTACTTCGTTTGCGTTAGATGGATCAACCATCATTGATCTCTCAGAGAAAAGCTTCGATTGCATGAGAAAAGTTTTGACTGCATGTTTTAGAAACCCTAATTTTCAATGAGCATTTTGAGAGTGTTTAAGGGGAGACGGGTGTAATAGCCATGTAATCAGACATAATTGGGTGTAATAGTCACATATTCATTAATAATTTCCACCTACACGTTTTATTTTTTTAAATATGAAAAATAAATGTATCACCTGTTGTAACCGGTTACCAATAATATGACGTGTACAATGTAAGAACAATATTGGTGAAATGTATACTTGAAGCACATTAATTGTATTTCTTGTAAAAAAAAGAATTAATGGTATTTTTTTTGTATACATAATCATTTTCCATTTGCAATTTTGCAAAGTCTTATTCCTTCCTATAAGGCTAAGCGAAGTGGCACTCGCCAAAGCCACTCGCTTAGCTCGCCATGGGTTTAGAATACCACCCCTTAGCTCTCGCTAAGGGGGTCACCAAGGGATAAATGCCAAGCTCATAGCGAGAAGTAAGAGAAAGAATTAAATAAGTTTGATTGGTTGAAACACTTTTCTTGGGATTGCAACATGTAATCGGTGGTCTTCAAAGTAATATATGGCTGAAAATTAAATATCTCAATTTATGGACTCAACAACCTCAACAATTTATTTGTGATATATATATATATATATATATATATATATATATATATATATATATATATATATTCAACTACCAATTCAACCAATATAAATTAAACCACACTCTCACCAATTTACACACACAAAATACCATATCATTTTTACAAACTCTCTCAATTCAAGAAAAAATGTCTTCATCTCAAACAAAAAAAACCCCAAGAACCAACAAAAAAAAATCTTCAAACCTTCCATCACTACATCTTCCACCTCCAAACACTCAATCAACAAACCTTCCATCCCCAAACCTTCCATCACCACCATGTTATCGACCATCATTTGATCAACCAATTCACTCTCCCACTAACTTCTATTTTCCTACAATGGCTCCGCAAATGTTTCCATTTAATCCTTTCTCTTCTCAACCAATGGGATTTTACCACAACCAATCTCAACCAACACCTCGGCCGGATATGGATCTTGATCCGTTTGAAACGGTTCAAGAAACTCAATTCTTTTCTCAACCCCAACCGCAAACTAACTTTCAATCTCAACCACGTCGCCTACTCGACGAGTCATCCGATTCTTCTGATGAAGTCCCCGTTGAAGATCCAGTTCAAGAATCCTTTCAAGAGCCCGAAGTAGAACCACACACACAAAAAAAAAGGAAAAGGAAGGGCTCCAAGTAGAGGGTGGACGGATGATGAAGAAAGGGCACTAGCTCAATCATGGCTAGATGTGTCGGAGGACCCGATCCACGGGAAAGACCAAGACTCAAAAACCTTCAAACAAAAAGTTTGGATTAACTTTTGCAACCGCATGAATAAGAAGTACCGCAACCCCGATTCACTTTACTCGAAGTGGAGGAACGCCAACCGAGCCGCAATGGAGTTCAACGGTATATACATGAACACGATGAAAAATCCCCAAAGCGGTGCAACTGAGGTGGATGTCATGGCTAAGGTTCGAAAGATTTACAAGGCGAAAGTCGGAAAACCTTTTGTCAATGAATCGTTTTGGGGAGTTGTGAAGGGCAATAAAAATGGCTAGATCTAAAAAGTCCAGTTGATTACGCGGGGATGTCCAAACGAAGCATAACTTCGGAGTCCAGCCACAGTCAATCTTCTGATGCGCGTATCGGAGGGATTGACCTCAACAACGACTGTCCTTATGAAGTTCCAACTCGTCCTATGGGACGAGACAAAGCAAAAAGAAAGTTGAAAGGAGCACAAAGTTTGTCTACTGAAGCGGAGGAGATAATAAACTCAATCAAAGGGTTAGACGATAAGCTTGAGGGTTTTTTGGAAGTGGGAAAGTTAAAAGAAATGAACCGTGCTAGAAAGGAAAAGAACCGTGCATTAGAACTTTACTTAAAACCCATGGGAGATCAATTGTCCGAGCAAGAAAAGATATTGAACGAGCGTTTGGAGCACTAAAAAAGCGTTGGCAGATAGTTGCAAAACCATCCATGTTTCGTGATATTTCTAATATGACAGATGTGATGTATACATGTATCATATTGCATAATATGATAGTAGAACATGAAGGAAATGCGATATGTGTGTACGACGAGAATGAAGTCATCCCGGAGACACAGCCACTAGAATATGGTGGTCAAGAATGGATGCAAAGATTGAGGATAATTCAGAATGTAGTAATCCATACCGATCTTCGCCGCCATTTGACCGATCATCTTTGGACGATGGACAATCTTGATCTAAATATGCCACCAGAAGACGAATTGGAAGGCCAGTATTCGGAGGAAGACCCATTGCTTTAGTGTGTGTTTTTTTTATATATTAAATCATGTTTTAGGTCTTAAGTAGTATTAAATCGTGTTTTAAGTTATTGTATATAGTATTTAATATTAAATAAAAAATATTTTTTTATTAAAATAAAGTAATTAAATTAAATTACAAAAAGTAAATACAAAAAATATATTTATTAAAATATAGTAATTAAATTAAATTATAAAAAAAATACAAAAAGTTAGAGTGGTAAAAATTTACCACTCCTTACCAAATGTTAAGTGTAGGTGTTAAAAAGAGAAAAATTATAGAGTGTCACCTCTCCTCTCTCCTCTTACCCTGATAACATCATCACTCTCCTCAGGATCTCCGTTTATCCCAGAGCTTCATGAATCTCCTAATACGGCGCCATCACGGTTCTTTCGCACCTTTCAAGCTCCAACCGACCATTGAACGCGACATTAAATCTCTCTGCAAAAACGACCTACTTTTCGACGCCATACATCTCCTAAACTCCATTCCTTCCCACAAAAATTTCACCCAAAAACCAATCCTCTACGCTACTCTCTTGCAAACTTGCACAAAGTGCCAGTCATTCAACCATGGCCTCCAACTGCACTCGCATGTCATCAAGACTGGACTCGAAACCGACCGATTCGTAGGCAACAGCCTGCTCGCACTTTACTTCAAACTAAGCTCCGACTTCATCGAAACTCAACGGGTTTTCGATGGACTGTATTTTAAAGACGTTGTCTCTTGGACTTCCATGATTTCGGGTTTTATTCGCGTTGGGAAACCAAGGTGTTCGCTTGATTTGTTTAAAGGAATGTTGGGACTCGGTGTTGAACCAAATGGCTTCACATTGTCTTCGGTGATCAAGGCGTGTTCGGAGCTGGGAGACGTAAATCAAGGTCGCGTATGCCATGCGATTGTCTTTCGACTTGGTTTCGATAACAATCATGTAATTGCTAGCTCATTGATCGACATGTACGGCAGAAACTACACCCCCTATGATGCACGTAACCTGTTCGATGAATTGCTTGAACCAGATCCCATTTGTTGGACTACAGTAATTTCCGCCTTTACAAAAAACGATCTGTTCGAAGAAGCATTAGGTTTTTTTCTCTCAATACTAAGGAAGCATAAAATGTCGCCAGACAGCTACACATTTGGAACAATTCTATCAGCTTGTGCGAACTTAGGAAGATTAAAGCAAGGTAAAGAAATTCATTCCAAACTCATCACTTCTGGAATCCAAGATAACGTGGTAGTGGACAGCAGTTTAATCGACATGTATGGTAAATGTGGCTCTTTAAACGAATCCCGCCAAATGTTCGATAGAATGTCCAAACCAAATTCAGTAAGCTGGTGTGCACTCCTTAATGGGTATTGCCAAAAGGGTGATTTCGATACTGTTATCAACCTTTTTAGAGAAATAAAAGAGGTCGATCTTTACAGTTTTGGAACCCTAATTCGCGCATGTGCAGGGTTGGCATCTGTTAGACAAGGAAAAGAGGTTCATTGTCAGTATTTAAGGAAGCATGGATGTCGATACGTTATCATAGAATCAGCTTTAGTTGACCTTTACGCAAAATGTGGAAGCATAGATTTTGCTTATAAACTCTTTAAACAAATGGAAGTTAGAAATCTAATAACATGGAACTCAATAATCAGTGGGTTTGCTCAAAATGGGAGAGGTTTAGATGCTATTCAGATGTTTAATGATATGATGAATGAAGGAATGAAACCAGATGGGATTAGTTTCATTGGTGTTCTTTCTGGTTGTAGTCATGCTGGTTTGGTTGATGAAGGCAGAGAGTATTTTATGATAATGAAGAAAAAGTATGGAATTGAAGGCGATGTTGCTCATTATAGTTGCATGGTTGATATGTTAGGGCGTGCTGGGCTTATTGAAGAAGCAGAAAGTTTGATAATGGAGTCAAGATTTGAAGATGATAAGTCTTTGTGGACAACACTTCTTGGTGCTTGTAGTACAAGTAGTGATTTTATTGTTGCAGAAAGGGTGGGTAAGAAGATGATGGAGTTGGATCCGGATTATCATTTGAGTTATGTTCTTCTGAGTAATGTGTATAGAGCGATTGGAAGGTGGAGTGAATCGGATAAGATTATTGGCGTTATGAAAGAGAGAGGGATTCAGAAAACACTTGGGAAAAGTTGGATAGATATAGATGTGTAGTTAGCTCACATAATCACAGGATTCAAACTCTCAAAGATATTTATGTTATCTGTAATTTTTTTAATCAACTAAATTGGTCTAAACATTGAATAACACAACAAAAAGTATATACATAATACATATCGTTTTTATGAATACATACCAAATTCGCATTTATTACACCATTGTTCACACAGATAAACTTACAGAAGCTTCCCCTACTTCATCTTCACTGCCAGAATCCGGCAATGATTCAGTCTGAAAAGTCAACCTCATCTCCTGGTCAACCAATTCAGCAAGATCATGCCTATTCACAACTTTATAAGCTTCAATAACTGCTTTAAACAAAGACTCATTCGGATCAATTTCCCCATATTTTAACTTACTATAAACCCGTTTCACCCCTTCAACCATCCCCGCTTTCCCATAACAACCCACCAAATATATATAAGTAACAACATCCGCCCCCAAACCTTCATCTTGCATCTTCATAAACACCTTCAACGCCTCATCAACCCTCCCCAAACCCCCATAAACATAAATCCCAACATTATACACAAAAACATCCAATCCCATCTCAAAGCTTTCAAAAAACTCCAACGACAAAGAGCTCAACCCAACCACCAAAAAGACCAATGCCACCACCGCCTCACCGGAATACCGCTTCCCTTCCCGGTAAGCCGCCTCGAGCTGCTCCACCCCTTCCGCCGGAATACCGCCTTTCTTCAACACCGTGAACAACACCTTAAAAGTTCCGGCGGTGGGGAGGAGCTTCCGTGTCACCACCATCTCCCGCAACATTTCACCGCCCTCACGGAGGCGGCCAGTGGTGGCGTAACATGCCATGGCTTTATTGAACGAAGCACAATCGGTTAACAAACCGGAATCTTTCATCTTTTCTACAACTTCAATGGCTTCATCAAGCATACCCATGTTTTTGTAAACATAAATCATGGTAGAAAAAGAAACAGCGTCTGCTTTATTTGTTTTTTTCAAATCATCGAATATCAAAATGGCTTCTGATACCATGCCAAAATCAGCATAAAGATTGATCATGCTATTGGATGCCACCACATCGGGCCCACCCGGTAATTCCTTCATTTTCTTGTAAATTGTTCTTGCTCCTTCAACAATTCCGGTTTTACTATACGCTTTGATTAAAGAAGTTAAAATTACTTGATTTGGTGAAAAACCGGATTCTTGCATGATTTTGTAATACCGAAGCGCGTCTTCAAGATTCCCGGTTTCTGCAAATCCGTTTATTAAAGAACCGAATACAATTTCATTCGGTTTAACCCCGGATTTAACCATTTCGTGGTAAATCTCGTCTAATTCGTTAACCATGGTTAAACGAGAATAACTTGAAATGATCCCGGAAAAAGTCAAACACGAGGGTTTAAAACCGGATTCTTGCATTTCGTGTAAAAGATCGCGTGCTTCATTTACCAAATCGCCCCCGGCGAACATTTGAATCAAGGAGTTGTAAGTGCACTCATCGGGCCAAATCCCATGACTTTTCATCCCTTTAAATAATGAAAAAGCTTGATCGTGTAATTTCGCGATTCCATATGCTTTAATCATGACATTATATTCGATTATATCGATTAAATCTCGTTCACAATTAAAAACATATTCAGCTTCTGTCCAAAGTCCCTTTTCAGCATACGTGTCTATAATTGCAGCATAAGTTTTAGAAGATAATCCGCCTTTTTTATAACACTTTTCAAATATAAACTTTGCACGATTGATTAGCCCTTCTTCCACATACATTTTAATGAGAATTGGAACAGAGTGGTTATCGATATATAAACCGGATTTTTCGATATCTTTAATTACATTTTCGACTTCATGGATCATTCTTCTTTCACATAGAATTTGAAGAACAGCTCTATGAGTAACAACATCTGGAAAAAGACCCACTTCACGGATCTTTCTGTAGCATTCAAGAGCTTCATCTATGTCTCCCATGGCAGCATATAGAGATAAAAAGATGTTGTATGTTTTTGTATCGGGTGATATTCCTCTTTCTTCCATTTTATACAACAAAGATTCAGCTTCTGATAAATTCCCATGACTTCCACAAGTAAAGATCATTGTGTTGAAGGTGATTGTATCCATAGCGATTCCTGACTGAAGCATTTCAGCGAACACATCACCTGCATCTTTTAATCTCCCTGCTTTACCATATAAATCAATCAAAGTGTTGTAAGTGGCTGTTAAACGAGGCTTTTGAACAGAGTTTTCTGTAATCATACTCTTTGTATGATTTCTCCCACCAGTTCTAAAAAGCTCGGTCAACAAGAACTGAGTCAAACTAATGGGTTCTGAACATGAATCAAATTCCAAATCGTTTAATTCAACAATACCAACACACCACTCTTTGTAAAATCGATCTGCTCGATCATACTCACCTCCATCTTTCAATACTCGAACCACTGTGTTCATGGTGACTTCATCGGGAAAGATACCTCTAAGCTTCATGTGTTTAATCCACAAAAGAGCTTCTTTCACAAGACCTGCTTTTCCATACACATCAACGAGCATTCCGTATGTGTTATTAGTTGGGAAAACACCCTTATTAGCCATGTCAATCCAGCAACGTCTTAATTCATCCCATTTCCTGGCACGACCTAGGGCACGAAGAACAACGTTGTAGTGAATCACATTAGGTGAATACTCCGGCTGCGATTTCATCCACTCGAAAACTCTAATAACCCTTTCCCAGCTCCTTTGCTCTTTGAGAATCACCGTCTGTTCTTTAGGATTTAGTTTCCCGTAATATAAATTTAGGGTTTTATCAACATCGTCTTCGGAGTCCGAATCCAAAGACTTTAAAATCGAAGGCAATAGACCTCCATATCTCTTCTTATTCTTCTTATGGTTAGAACTGTAATTACCTACAGTATTTCTGATGGTACTAATAGTACTCGTGGTTGAACACTCGGTTTTTGAACGAATTTGAAGCTTGAAGTTGAAACCCAGATAAACCCTATTGGGGAATTTATCAGGTTTTCCATAAAACCTTTGAACAGAAATCAAATTGAACCAAGGGTTAAAGGTCTGAAGCTTACATGGCGAAGAAACAGCTTGTAAATTATATGGTCTGTGCAAATTCTCCCGGCTTACTTCTCTGTAACTGCAAGTTTGAAGCATTATGGCGGCTTTTTCCGGCTTGCAGGTTCCAGCCTTCGTTCTTCTACGAGAAGCCTTCAGTTTCTCCACTGCTATTTGTTTTATTTAAAATAATTTCATAAAAACCCTTGAATTATTACAACTTTTCATTTTTTGCACCTAAGTTTCTCTATTTCCTTTTTCTCGTGACAACTTTACATTTTACAAGACTTTACCTTGGGTTTCAATAATTACAAAGAGCTCTACATTTAACTATATAAACATGTGGTAGAATACAAGTTCTAAGATTTCTAACATGACCCAAAATTACCATCAAAATATTAAATCTTTGCAACAAATAAATTAAAAAATGAAACTAACTTAGCATCTAATTAACTATATATACACATGTGTAGTTTTTGAAAAGTGACTGTCTTTGATTATGCATGTCATAATGCTGCCATCATAGTTGACCTTGTAGCTTCACGTTTCATCTCTGCAGCTTTTCCACTACCACGGAAGTATGAATAAACTTGCTACATATCCATAACAAACCACAAAAATTGAAATTAAAGAAAAAAGGGGAAGATCATAATCTGATCAGAAGATGAAGATCAATATTTCAAACCTGAATAACCCAGATGCTGATTGCTGTTTCAATGAAAAAAAGTCCAAATCCAATGAGGTAGATACCCTGAAAATGAAGCCGGATGATGAACATATAATGTTGAATAAGTGTTTTCTTTTAAATATTACTACGTACCCCAAGCATAGCATTTCCTACTAGAAGATTAAAAGCTGGCAAAATCCCTCTGTAATTCTCATATCTTATCATTTACAGAAAAATGTGAAGAAAAATAATAAAAATAATCATTACGAAATGTAACTTACGCGATTGATTTCCCTTGGATGAATATAGGAGGAGCAAGTGAAGCAAAAGCACAAAAGAAGACGTGAAACTACACCAATAGAAATGTTTCACATGCAAACTTTTGTCACAAAGAAGTAAAGCAAAAATAATAACAATAATAATAATAAAGATGACATGGAGCTTACGCTGTATGTTATGAGAAAGAAGCTAAACTTTACAGCGCTATCGCTCCTGTGAATAAAGAAAATAATAAAGAAAAATATTACAACTTATATCACGAATAAATGTGTTAATTTGACTAGTAAGATTGGAGTTATACCTAGTGGCTCGATACAAAGGACGATACCATAAAAAGTATGACCCTGGAATTCCTAATATGATGTAGATAACAGCACATAGCCAGATTGTAACACCTGTTAATTAATATATACATGAAAAGGAAAAGAAAAAGAAAAAAGAAAAGAACAAAAAAGATAATTATTTCATTAATGTTACACAAGTGTTTCTTTTTGACTTAATGCAGAAAGAATGACTTAATAGAGAAAGGGTATATACCTTCTCCTTCGTACCAGGCAACAGACACTGCTATAAGATTCCATACAAGGCATACTATGATACCTACAAATGTTACAAATGATGAAAGTATAAATGAACAAGAAAAAATTAAAGAAAAGAATTTTTAAAATAAAAATATTGTAGAACTTGAAGATAATTACATTTACATACCTAACCATGAACCAAATGCAACATATTGTACTTTCTGTAAATGGATAGGAATTTCAGATTTAATGTTATGATGGATTATAGGGTAAAAAGGTGGCCAATTGTTTTCCTCTATAACAACTCCAGCTGCAAAACAGATAAATGTTAACAAGATTTATGTGCATCACTCTCACATTACATAAGAAAAAAAAAAAAAATTCAATAACTAATTGCATTACATTTTGCAATTGCCTCCTCCCTCTTCTTTAGCTCCTGCATATGAACATGTGTTCATAAAAAACAATGGCATAATCACAGTTGAAAATGAATATAAATAATAATATTCTAAAGTCTAAAGTCTAAATGGTATATATATATATATATATATATATATATATATATATATATATATATATATATATATGTATATGTGATTTGAAGTTCCTAATTAAGTTAAAGAACATGCACCTCTTCCCTCCTTTTCAGTTCAGCTTCTTTATCCTGGAGTTCCTTTTCTATAGCTTTCAAATCCTAAATGCAAGATAAAAGGAAAACATTTGAGAAAAAGCCATAATTAAGCCTAAAGGACAATGTGGGGGCATATGAGTAAATATCTTACCTTGGCGTTATTAATAGGGATATCAACAGTTGTACCTTCTGCGGGAAGTGAGATTGGATTTGAGGTTGCAGTAGGATTCTGATGATTTCCATAAATTAATAGATATTCAAGATATGTATGCAAACATAAAAAGATAAGAAACCTCGCATGGGTTTTTGAAAATACAATGTAATAACAGAAAAGCATATTCAAAGAAACAAATGACACAAAAAGCAACGATTCTATTTATGTTATACCATTAATTATCTCAAGTTTTAATACCCGAAAACCAGAATAACAAAACCGAATCACGAATGGATAGCATAGCATCATAGCAATCAAGAACAAGACTCCTAAAACCCATGAATGCAATAAACAAAAATCTCACCTTATGGGATATCATAAAACAAAATGTTAATATGAGAAATAAATTAGATAATGAAATTGGATTACCTCATTGGGATCGTTACGACTACCCATTGGATGAAAATCAGAAAACGATGCAACAATTTGTGATTCCTTGCAATGTTGTTTTGAAATTAGTTGAAAAAATTAATGGGTAATTGAATAAGATCGAAGCTTGTTTGATTTGGTAGGAAGATAATTCATAGGAAAGAAAATGGGAAGGTTTTTGGCGGGTGAGAGAGCTTGAAAAGGCGTCATTCGTATGGTTAATATAGCGGCCTTTGCCTATTTCGGTGCTCCACTCGGTTTGACTCGTAACATCTTCAATCAATAGGTAGTCAAATTTTGAACAAGTTACAAATTAAATCCCTGAACTTGCTCATACTGCAAGTTCAGTCCATAAACTTGCTCAATAACTTTTTAAAAAGTTTTTGGGGTTTATTTGGATGCAGTTTTGTAATTCACAACTTGATCGATTACGAAAGTAATAATCATTTTTGTTGCCAATTTTTATGAATATTTCTTGATTTCAATTTTGGTCCAAATTGCATTTTGCATACTAAATAAGTTCTTAATGCAAGTGGGTATTGACGGCCAAATAAACGAGTCGAACAAAAGCAAGTTGGAAAATTTATTTCTTCATGACTCGGTGAGTAAGTTTGAGAAAATATGAAATCGGAACATGGTTTGGAACATGAAATCAATTGTCTAAGTTCAATTAAACCTATCGGGCCGTTTAAATTGAATTGAGCCCGATCAAAAGATGTGTGCATGTTCAAATTTGATAAGATTAATTTGATGTTTTAGTTCAAACTAACATTGTTGTTGTCATGGGGAGCTAGCTTGTAACAATGTGTTTTTCGGGACCTATCTAAATTTTTAATTCTATTTAGTATTTATATAGGAAATTTTTTAAGACCTACCGTGAAAAAAAAGGAACTACCTTATAGTATTAGATAAAATAAGAAACAAATAAATTAAATAAATGATGGAATGTGTTTGTATTATTATTATTTTTTGAAGTACTTAAGTTGTGGCTGGGGCTTGACCATTAGGCCTGACAATGGAGCGGGTTTGGAGCGGATCGGCCTTGATCCAAACCCGTTTAACAATTTTCAAATGATGATCCAAACCCGACCCGTAACCCATAGGGTTTTAAATAATTAAACTCATACCCTTATCCACCGGATCAACGGATTTCAACACTTTTATCCGACTCATTTACAATATTAAGTTTAGGCTATAATTATTCATTAAAACACATATAACATGATCACTAAAACCAAAAAAATTTCACTCCAAAACAAACATCAATTATAGTTATATAAATAACTTTTCCAATGTATTATGATTGTGGAATGTCGATCACTCGATTGCAGCCTTTTCTTCTTCTTGAATCTTGATTGAAACCCTTTTTCTTCTTGCTCTTGAGTCTTGATTGTGGAATATCAATTTCAAAAGATTATAGAGTCGATTATATTGGGAGTCGACTGCAATCGACAATTTGGATTAGGAACTGAACTGAGAAGTTGAAGTAGAACGTCTAACAGTCTAACTCCTTGACTCCTATATGTGAAGATTGATGAATGTATTATTTATTATAAATAATTAATTTATTTGAAAATTTTAGATGGGGCGGGTCATAAACGGATCGGATCGATAGTGATCCATACCCAACCCTTTTAATAAAAGGGTTAACGGGTAAACAAATCATAAAATATGATCCAACCCCATTAATTTTGCACGAGTTTGGAGCGGATCAAGGTCAAAACCCGCTCCATTGTCAGGTCTATTGACCATAGATAGTATTGTTCATTAGGCTGCTATGAAGCGTAAGACATATATTTTGTAGGTAATCATATGCTTTTCTATTCACTTTGTTGTTTTAATATTACGACTCTAACATTCTAAATGTCATCGTTTTTAAGCTAAATATCTTAAATGTTTCTATTCATCATATTTTATTTTCCTTCCAAATTGAAATAATTTATATAACAATGTTTTGGTGTTAAATGATAAATGAATAAGCTAATTTGGTTTTTAATGTTTCATTGCTAAATTACATATGATCTAATGTAATTCATATGTATTTTTTAAATTTGATATTATTTTTAAATGCAAAAGACAAGAGTGAAACAAAAACATCTATCGTACTTTAAAAGGTGAAGAATCATATTTTGAATATTTTTTGAAGTACTTGAGTTGTGGTCAAGGCTTGACCATAAATAGTATTTCTCATAAGGCCGCTATGAAATATAGTAGGCATAAGACATAAATTTTGTAAGAACCGTATAGATATTTTATTGTAGTTTGTAGGACATAAAAACAAATGTTTAGAAAAATACTAAATATGTAATATTTGTGGAATGAAAATTTTGCAAAATATTTACTGTTCAAGTTCAAGATTATGAAACGAAGTGTTACATTAAGTAAAAGATATAAAACCACCATCAAGGTGACATATTTGTAATTGTTTGGTATGAAACACTTTTAAATAGAATTGATCTATGTTTAAATCCCGCAAGATCCAATCTTGGAGTGACATTTCGTTAAACATTAGTACAACAAAATAAAATAACTAGTTCTCAAACTATTTTTATGGGAATTTTGGATATTCATATGGAGATGGTGTTTCATCCTAACCAATCCACCTTCATCTATCTTGAATAAATGATTTCACATGCCTTATGTTACAGAGAAGTTGATAATAGCCTAGTTTGCTACCGTTAATCCAATTTTCCGCCTCTTAAAATTCTATATGGCCTCTTAATTTGATGTTGATTAAACATCAATAATGAAATCAATTTTAACTTCTTAAGCATAAACTATAATTTTTATTGTTATAAACCATAAAAATTAGAAAAAAAATATTTTAATTAACACAAAAATCATTGTGATCATGTATACAAATCCGAGAAGGGCGTCCATATCTACAAGAGTTTGCATCATCAAATATATTCTTTGTGGATCTTGAGTTGGACATAAACGATTGAGAGGAAGAAGAAGAAGAAGAAGTAGCCATTACAAAAATATCGAACACAGACGCCGTTTGTTTTTCTGTTCTCCAAGCCCTAAATCGATATAAAGGACAATTCTAATATGTTTATTCCATGTCATTAAATATAATGACATGTCATTTGCTAACTAATTGTATACCTAATGAATATCCTATAATGAGAATTTAACAAAAGCGTAAGTTCGTTGAGTTTTTTTTAACAAACAAAACATGATTGATATTTTTTGAACAGTTTCGAAACTTCATTGGTCTTACAATTCATTTTCCTAATATTTAATTACACGTCATAAGCCATGTCATTCAGTGACTTTCATTAGCCGGTTGACCTTAATGAGAATTGAACAAACGTGTAAGTTAGTTGAGTTTTTTAGACAAAATATAAATTCGTTGAGTTTTTTTAAACATACAAAACATAATTGAGGTTTTTTTTAACGGTTTTGAAAACTTTGTTGGATTTTTCCTAAAAACAAACTATAGAGACCAACCAAATAGAAAATTAGAGGGTGTTTGGGAATACTTTTAAAATCACTTTTAAAATCACTTTTGCCTTTTAACTTTTCTAAAAAGTTGTAAAGATGTTTGGAAAATGCAAAAGTTCTTTTCAAAATAATTTTTTGTAAAGAATAAAAGAATGAATTTTCAAAAGTTAAGAAAATGTGATTTTTTGTAATTTTTGGACTTTTAAAGCTAAATCACACTCAAAAGTCAAAAAATATTATCCAAAAACTTTTTAAAAACAACTTTTAGCTTTTGTTTCCTAAAAAAACTTTAAAAAAAAGAAATTTTAGGCTTTAATCTCAAACACCCCTTAAAATCATAAGTACGCAAAAGAAATATAGGACATACTATGCAATCTTTGACAAACCAAAGGACTAAAATATAACATAAAATTCTCATATTTCAAAGAGATTTTGTTTCTGTAATCGAATCCTGTTGGTAAGCAAGCATGGTTGAACAAGCAAAAGCAATGCAGGCATATTTCTTACACGCATCGCTTTTAACTTTTATCCCTCTCAAAAGCCCCTCCGCTACACACACACACGCTAAAACAGACCCAAATGGGTTGTTGTTTGACCACCCCCGCAACCACCAATAAAACAACCCACCGCCGTCTGGATGATTCCAAAAGTAGAATCGAAGAACCAGCTACTCATGCTACTCCGTCGCCACCATTTGAAAAAGAGTCAGTCAAAGAAGTCCTCTCCGAAACTCCCATCTCAATATCAATACCAATCATCCAAACGACCACACAGATTCTTCATGAAAATGACGCCGGCAAGAAATCAAACCTAGAAAATCAAGAAAATGTTACTGAGATGTCGGAGATGTCGGAGATGTGTAGTTACAATGAGAGCTTATCTGCTGCCACCACGTCCAAGGCGGCGATGACAGATACTGAAAGGGATGTAGTTGAAATCGAAGATGATGGGCAAGTCACACAGAAAATCATTACGTCTCCACCACCCAAAAAGGTTCCCAGGAAACGGCCGGAGAAGTTCACCGGCGAGATATCCAAGGAGAAGGACGGATGTATCAGGCCACCACCTAGAAGGTTAGTAGCTCCTCCACGAAAGAAGAGAAATTGGTTCCCGTCCAATACAATGCCGACAACCCACCGCCACGGGTATGTTGGACCATTGGATGTTGTCCGACGAGGTCTCCGCCTTCCCGGCGAACGATCAAGGTCGCCCGCGATTAGGGGACTACGTCTGAATATGAGAGAGGGAAGCCCTGCACCTGTAAAAAACTCCGGTGATCAGATAAGAGTGAAATCCGATGATATTGAAAGAAATGTGACGGTGGTGATGGTCGGTGTTCCATCGGAGCTAGAGACAAGTGAATCGCTGGACAATCCGGTTGTTTCTATGGAGTGCTTTATTTTTCTATAAACAGTAAAAGCAAATAGGTGGTCATCGTTTTGTTATTTTTTTTCCCGCTATACGGTGTTGTTTGGCACATCAAAAGAATGGATATAGAGGTACGACCACATTTTTCATGAACCATGATTTTCTTTAAGAAAATATGTTATGATTTCTTGTAGTAATTATTTCTTTTTCAA